CTCTGTGGGTGTGTTAGGTGATTTAATATTCTATCAGGCAGGGAAGAGGAAAATCTTCCCCTCTCTACTTTCTCTTTCCATCACACATCTATTCTCACATTTTTTTTTGCCTTTTACTTTGCAATTTGTGACAAGGTATAACTGGTCACCACCTGCAACTAGCTTGAGTCCTGTTATTCTTACTTGAGGTTTTCATGATATGCAATGAAGGAAAAGCAGACGACATAACCCGAAAAAAATATGTTTTATCTATTTGAGGCTCTTGGCTGATCTCTAGTGGCAATATTGGGAAACTACATCAACCACTTGCACACACTTGCTCATTTTTTGACTAAGAAAATAAAAGCAGAAAAAAAAATCTGTTAATGGTATTTTGGGCAGTGATGGACTACAAAAAAACAACAAAAAGCCTCAGTTTGCAGTTTCAGAAGTTCCCATGCGGGGCAGTGAAATCATTTTCCCATGTGCGGCTCGATGTTTTTGGTGATTCGTGGGACAAAGCTACCGAAAGCCACAGAATCTCAAATGAATGCTGAGCCAAAAACACTTGAATCTGATTACTTATTGTCATATTTACACCAGGATTTCAACAGAGCGCCCGGGTGTCTTGCCACAGACTTCGACTGGCTCCGTTATACTCTGTGCGTTTTGAGAGATGACTCACTTCATTGCTCTGCAGACCACCACCTCTCCTGATGCAGCACTTCACTCACAGGCATGTATTTTCTTTCTAAGTGTAATAAGTTTTTGAAGGTGAGACTGTGAAAGTGCCTGCGTGCGCCTCAGTCTGACATTTACAGTCGAGTGACTCAGAGTTTTTTCTTCTTTTTTTTTCTTTTGTTTGTTCTTGCATCTAAAACAAGAATGAGAGCTGTGTGTGACAGCTTTCTCTCAGACTTCCTGGCTCATGTTCATTTTGTTAATGTTCTGCTGGCTGGTTGAGGAGTTTACATGGCTCCCTCTCCCCCTTTTATCTTTCAGCACCTAACAATCTACACCTTCTGCTGCTTTGATCTCCTCCAAAATCATGTTCTTTGTGCATGTACTTTTTTTAACCTCAGATTCCCAACATTAAATTTTTTTCTTCTCACTTTTACAAAGTAAATCAAATTTCACTTCATAAAGTTTTAAATTTCTCCAAATTAAGAAGACACACAATAAAAAAAATTTTAACGTAAGCTTGCATTTATCTTTCACTAACTTATTACATTACCAAGAAGTACTTAACTATGCCTTAAAAATGGTGTTAGGTACCCTTTCTATAGAAAATACAACCATATGGCTTCAATTATGCAGTATCTGCTGGATAATGAGGAAAAGAAAATAAGAGATTCAAATCAAAGACTCAAAACACTCAGTGAACTTCTCTTAATTGCAACATAGAAAGCTAAAAAATAATGATTTCTATTTGTTCTGCCAACTGAAGATAATTGGCAGCTGTTTCAATGACTGAAAATCACCAACACTCACTTTAATGGGTAAAAATGAAGAACAGCATCATTAACACAGACTGCTAACTTTCTCTCAATAGCCAGGTCCACATTTGCATGTCAGTCCACAGATGAAATGAAACAGGGAAATAATGCTCTAAGTAAGTCAATAAGACTTTGAACACTGTGGACATTCAAGAAAGATATGATCGTATTATCTGACACACACCAAACTTAAAAACACTGAGCCGAAAAGAGCATTAATCTAATAAATCATGAAACTATTGTAGATTTGGATACTTTTATTCAGTGCCACATTGTACACCGTGTACCAAAGAATAGTGATAGACTATTGCTGTCTCCAGTCAACCAAAGTAAGTTACCCTATAGGCCTACTTTACTAAAGACACTGAAACATATAACAGTGACTACTGCCTATTCTAACCATAGATAACACTGCATTATTTTACAGTAGGGAAACTAAATTTATCATGGCTACTGGAGACCTTTTGTCCAGACTGCCAAACACAATTTTGCAGAATGAAAGGATGCCTGAGGAATGGAGAAGTGTGTTGGTGCCTATTTCCAAGAACAAGGGTGAAAAGGAAAGCTGTAGTAACCACAGAGGGACAAAGCTGATAATTCAATGAACAGCGCACCAGAGGGGTGAAGAAGAGAGTGCAGAGAACATATGAGTGGGTGAACACAAGCGTCAGCGGGATTTGTCAGAAAAGGCTGGCAGCAAGAGTGAGAGGGAAGGTTAACAAAAGGGTAGCGAGACCTGCTATGACATAAGTGCCTTCTAGTGGTCAACCTCTGCACCATCAACACTCATAACATGGTTGAAGCATGTCTCTGCTGCCTTATCTTTTCTTTGATTTAAATTTTTTCATTTACTGGCCATTTTAAATGCTTATACAGCTATAGAAAATAATAAAAATCAACTGATATGTTGGGTATTATTAATATATCTGTAAAGCTCTCATTTTTGTGTGCAGTTGGTTGTTAGAATAGAATAGAATAATCCTTTAATTGTCCCACAGGGGGGAATTTGGTTGTATCAGCAGCAAAAAAACACACATATACAAACAGAATGTTATAGTTTCTACAAAAAATTAAGTAAAATAAAAACAATATAACATAAAACAACAATTTTTATGATTGGCTTTGTATTGAGGCAAATCTGGTATTTTTAGTTAACTAAAGGTGTTTTTTTGTTGTGTTTTTTGAGTATGGAAACTATGCCACTGTGTTACAGATGTATTATACACACACACACACACACACACATATATATATATATATATATATATATATGTGTGTGTGTGTGTATATATATATATATATATATATATACACACACAATATTATAATAAACTATAATACTGGGGCGATCGTGGCTCAAGAGTCGGCAGTTTGTCTTGTAATCGGAAGATTGCTGGTTCGAGCCCCGGTTCGGACAGTCTCGGTCGTTGTGTCCTTGGGCAAGACACTTCACCCACTGCCTACTGGTGGTGGTCAGAGGGCCCGGTGGCGCCAGTGTCCAGCAGCCTCACCTCTGTCAGTGCGCCTCTGTCAGGGTGGCTGTGGCTACAATGTAGCTGCCATCACCAGTGTGTGAATGTGTGTGTGAATGGGTGGATGACTGAATGTGTAAAGCGCTTTGGGGTCCATAGGGACTAGTAAAGCACTATACAAATACAGGCCATTTACCACTATGGTATAACCACCTTTTCCATAAAATATTACACTGTGTGCGTATATCTGTGTAAAAGACTAGATTGTAAAATACTATTAAAAAATACTGTTCCATGATAGATTGTACAGTAAAAGCAACTGAACAACACTATCGTGGATAACAACATGCTACACCACAGCATGCTATATAATAGAAATGCACAGCAGTTGTAAACTTTGTCATATTTAATTCCATTGTAGCATACTGATGAGGACTCGCAGTACAAAAAGCAAATACCAGACATTCCATTACAACTTGGACCCAGTAAACCCCACCAAATATATAAAAACAGAACACAACAGCACAACGTTTCTTGGAGTTACAACGTGACATCGACAAGACAAACATCTCGATCTGGGGAAAGCCAAGACCATGGTGGTTACTGAACAACTGCCTCTTTTCTGAATAAAACTTGTTATATTGTATTTTGATATTACAACACTCAAGAGAAAATAAAATAATACAGAAGATTCACAATGAACCTTTAAGCACTGCATGGAGAAACAGCTTTAAAAAGCAAGACCTATGGCACGTTCATTTCCTGACATAGATTTGCATGTTTTCACAAAAATATAATCACAAGCTTTGATTTTAAACTGAGTACAGATGGATAGATGGATTCCCATGGAAATTGTGAAGTGTAAGAGCAGCAACTGGCTAACGTGCAGAGTCTGTCAACAGATGGCGCCATAGGCCTTTCCACAATCCGTGCATTTCTTGCACGTGTGAGAGGCTCGTTTCCATTGACTTGTCAAAGTTTAAGAAAATAAAATGTGATGATGTTTAATAGTCCATCTTCCTATTTAATGCTGAAGTGGCTCCATATAAGCAAATATTACACCTTAAGATGAGAAAATGTGAAATATTTGCCAGCAAATACCCACTTGACTACGCCATTTGAGAAGAGTTGGGCAGGTTGGCTGTGGGTGTAGATTATTATTATTTTTATTATAAAAACAGATATTCGCAAAGTTGCCTTCCACCTTAATTAGCAACAGCAGTGCCACACAGAAGTGAGAAAACATCACATGAAAGCTTTTTTTTCCCAGCATAATACTTGGACCACAAAAGCATCATAATTTCTTTTTAGGATTCCTGGAAAAACACATCATTGCTAGTAGACAGGAAATTAGTTTACACCTAGCTGGGATATCCAGCTTGCACCAATGACTTTTTGATCATGTTATGATCTAAGCAACACTTTAAGCAGAAATTCAACTCAAATAATACAATAAATTGTAAGTTTTAAGAATATTTTGGAGAATAAAAAGACAACATCTGCTCTGTAAAATATTTGTAATGATGGCAAATTTCAACACTTCCAGGTTCAACCTTCTGATTCTACATGGCTAAGAAATTCTCAGAAAGCACTTAAACCTCGCTCTGACTGACGTGCACAGTTTTTGTATCAGTGAGAAATGTAATAAATATCCACAAAAAGGTTTAAATGTTGATTAATACATTATTCTAATTTAACAGTTTCAGGAATGGAAATATGACAACGAATTCCTGTTTCAGTACCGTAGACTTTTATAAAAGCTTCTGAAATATAAAACCAATGCACAAGTTTCATTTTAATGGCCAACAGGGGGCGATAGATTGGAAATAATTTAAAACTGTATGGAAGTCAGTGGGGAAAACACCCATTTGATCTGTGGGCTTGTCAACGCCTCTGTCAGTGCGCCCCAGGGCAGCTGTGGCTACAATGTAGCTTGCCATCCCCAGTGTGTGAATGCGTGTGTGAATGGGTGAATGACTGAATGTAGTGTAAAGCGCTTTGGGGTCCTTAAGGACTAGAAAAGCGCTATACAAATGCAGGCCATTTACCATTTTAAACACTTTTCTAGTTTATGGGCTCATTTGCTAGTTTCAAGTCAATCTTAATGAAATACAATGCCCAGTTTATTAATTAGGGTACTTACTAGAGTCAGCCAGTGAGCATGCCCTGTCCCTTTCCTGATGACCTGTCAGTAACGATAACGCCTCAGTGAGCGTGTGGTTTCCCTCAGTTTCAGTCAGATCGAATCTTTATTCATAATGTCCAGTTTTGGCAAAAATGCTAACCTGGAGGATTTCAGAGCTAGTGGCTACTTCCATCTATTATTTACAGTTTGTGCTTTGTGCTAAAATATGAAATTCTTGCTAAAAATGCCAGTAACTTAACTCTTGAGTCTTAGTAGAAATAAAAAGAATGGATGGAATCAACACAACTGAACAACAATGATCCTTTAGTTTAAAGAGAGAGAGAGATACTTTGGCACGTTGTTTCTGCAGTGCAGCAGGTGGCGAGAGCACAAGCAAACTTACAGCAGATTGCTTCATAATTAGGTTTAAGCGTCTTACTGCAAGTGAAGCATTTTACATTCAATATCAAAGACAGAAACAGCAGTCTGACAAACACCAACATCTGGACTGCCGATTAAGGGGCTGACTTACATTTAGGTAGATACTTTTAGGCAAATTATACACTTTACATATAATATTTAAGCACGTCTGTCAACAATTTGTGTATTCATATACATATATATACAGTCAAAGGTAATCTGACATCAAAAAGCAACTCAACATTTGATCTTTTCAGAAAGATGCCGCTGAATTACATCATTAGTATACACACAACAAGTCTGTAATTAGCAGCAGTTACTAACGCGTACATCTTAGTGTGTGGTGACCAATGTAGAAATGATGAAATTAAAATGTAAAAAACTTAAAAAATGTTTTCCTAATATTCTCCATTGAGATATGAAGACTGACGTCGCTCAAAATAGAAAATCTGAAAATATTCTGAACGTATTTTTTGAGGTATTTCGGGTAGGCATTTTTAAAAAATGCTCCTAACTAAATGTTGACATAATATATGGGCCAGGAAATTGAGCAACTTTTTTAACATCTGTACAGATCAACAAATACTAGTGGCTCCTGGATGTAAAAGTCTATTGGAGGCAGCAGCTGCACACGTAAACAACAACGCCACGGCGCTAAGTTGCAGGACAGCACATGATGTTCATAGAAAGCAGGAAATCAGTGAGTGAATGGATGAGAGGGCAGCAGAAATAAAAAGGGAAAGGATAGGGATAAGGAGTGATTGTCATTGGAGGGGTTTGATCTTGTCTTTGATTGGCCAGAAGAGGCTGAGACAGAGTACATTGTCTGAAATCACACCAGAGTTTCTGGCAGTGTGTCAGCATTGTCCGAGGATAGCAGTTGCCATATCTGCCACCGGTCCCTCTGCCACTCCTGCCACTCTGGACTCTGTGCGACCACCGGGGCTTCTGTTGTTGAAGCCGAGTTGCTCTGCCCTGCGCTCGACCTCCCGTGTGGCTGCTGAGCCGTCGCAAGCTGAGGGGTACTTTGTGAGCTAGCCAATCGATGATGCGCATTATAAGGGGGAGGAGAGCGTCCATCGAGGGGGCCGCCTTCTCCGGTGTTCGCTCCGGCTTGAGGTCTGAGGGTCGAGTTAACTCCATGTCCCCTTTGCGATGTCAAAGGAGGGTTGATGTTTAGCTGCAGGCGTGGTTGCCCCTTGTCCGCATGAGGGTTGGTGCACACTCTGGTGACCGGTGGGTGGAGTCTGCACTCGGAGATGTCAGGCGTTGTCTGAGTCCGTTGTACTGCTGTCTGATGCCTGCTATCACTATGGAGTCCATCTAGACCTTCCTGTGAGCTGCGGGAGCTTCCTTCTGACATGTTGCTATGGGAACCTAAGAAGAGAGCATCACTTCATCAGTAAGATTGTCAACGAATATTGAGGGAGACACACATCTCCATTTAGTGACTGATATAAAACTGTACAAAGAAATGTAAGAAAGGCTTTTATTAATAATAAATTTTTTATGTTATTGATAATAAACCAAATACTAATTTACTACATAAACCTATTTTTGGTAGATTGAATCACTAGAATTCTCAATCATTTTATTATAATCATCATCTGTATATGTATGAATATACATATACATACACATTTATGTACATATGTCTGCATGTGTCCTATCTCCTCCTTAATCTTAACAAAACCACATATACACACATACAGTAAGTAATAACATCTATAAGGTTCTACAAGCCTTTATTATTTAGTATTATTCCCATATCTGGCATCCCCCTACAAATGCAATGTTATGCTCACGATTTGCAGTTTTTTCATGTGCCACGTTCAGTGTACGTTACCCATTCGGAACTTAGCGGTCACATAAATGTGTATCCATGGTGAGTCATCAGTAAATACAGAACAAAGCCTTAAAAGCTTGTAAAAGTTGTGATGAGACATGGTTGTGAAAGTACAGCCTTATGCAAAAACCTTTCTGGTTTCTGTAGCTTATTTTAAGTTTATCACAACTGAATCGGGGGATGGGGAGTATAATGTGTCATACTCTGAAAACCATGCCCACTGAAAGAGAAAAAGCCACTCAGCCCTATAACTAGGGGCTGACATGCTAAAAAAATGCCTTTAAGTTACTGAATTTTAGGTGTTAAAAAAGTTGCTGCCTTTACCTAAGGTACTTGCCAACACGGTCAAAAGCTAAACTTCAGCTAAACCTATAAAAACATAGTAACTTGAAAATGACAACTGAATATTTGACCTATTATTATTGAAATATCAAAAATTATATAAAGTGTAGAATTCAAAAGTTAGAGTCCCCAGTTTTGCCTTTCTTCCTGCTTCCGGCATCTTATGACTTTTAGGTATTGTTTTTGTTTTTGGCTAGCACATGAGGTATCTTTAACCTAAACAAGTCAATAGAAAGCTATGACTACTCTTCCTCTTCCAGTCTGGGTAAAACTCAATGCCACCACCTTTCTTTCTCTATTAAGCTAAAAATGTATCAAGGTACATGTAGTCTGTTGATGTAGGTTGCTACACAAGCTTCCAAGGATTAGCTGATAACTTAGCGCTAACTCCTAATTTGGCTAGTTTGGACTCTAAAAAGTAACAAAATTGTAGTGGTTACAGTGATAAACCCAGTGTTTCAAAATGCCAGCCCACAAACCAATGGGTATCGTCATGGAGACTCTAGCAATCCTTTTATACAGTCAATGGTTTATTACTTTTTAACCAGGATCGTATGTGCTGCCTGGGTACACAGATAAAACTAACAGTCTGCATGACTGTGGAAACTAAAGTGGCCAATTTAATATTATAGAATGTGCTACGTGCTTCAGATCTGTTCCCGTCATGGTTAATAACTAACACCATGTCTCAAGCGCATAGCGCTCTGGCTCATTAGCCACTTGAAACAAAATTTGCAGCGGGCATGGACTGACTTGAAAATTGTTTACCTGTATATGTTTGATTCTTGAGTGCCGATTTCAGAGTACTGTGCCATGTGCCCCAAATGTTAGCATGTTCTTCTGAAAAAGGCACAAGAGAGGTCAAATTCCTGCCACTTCTGAGTTATACAGTACATTTATTATGAGACATGTTGCTGATACCCAAGAAGAAAGGCCAAAGTGTGATAACACGTGCTAATCACCTATCTCTGGAAATACCAGACATTGTGCATCTCTCACCTTTATAACCCCAAGTGACAGCTCCGCTCTGCCCCACTAGAGAGTACTGTTCTGGGACGCGGTAGAGCTGCTCACTGGCCGGGCTCCCTGGTTCCCCTCTGCGCTCACTCAGGACCGGGGAGTTGTTATCATAAGGGGACACTTCACCACTCGACGCCTTGTTGGAGTCGCTGGACGAATGCCGCTCGCTCAGGACGAAGGGCTCCTCTGGCTGTAACAGGTCCGGACTCCTGCGGGAGGAAAGAAATAATTAAAATGGGTTCAAATAGTTGGAGATTGAAGGAAAGGGAAACACAAGACTAAGCGCTCTATAGGTGTAACTCACTGAGATGCTTTTCTCCTCAGAAGGTAGTCGACCACATCTGGATCGGTCTCCAAAAGGCTCATTAAAACTTCGTTTTGCAGATCAGGAGGAACCTACATAAAACAACGTAAGCAAAATAACTGAATACTTAAAATCCACCCACTGATGCTGCATTTATCTTCTAAAGAATGGTCAGATCCTTGTAGTCCTTTCTACTGCAAGGATATCAAAATGTACTGGATTTCTAGTAATTAAAACTTTATTTTTCCCTTTTCCTTGCCTCAGTATGATGGGAAGAAACGATAATAAGTTAATGATGTGCCTTGTTACCTTCATTTCCAGTGGACTTCTTAATCTGATCTTCTAATTAGCTGATTTTTATGCTTATCAGACATGCGGATTAAGATGAAGAGCACCGTCCAAAAACCTAACGTCTGCAAATGACTCCCATCCTGAAATGCTTTGAAAGTAAATGTCGCTCACTAACAAATTCAGACATAAGCAGGTTACAAAACAACTTTCAGATGTCATTCATAGAACTTGAGCTGCCTACAAATCTGTTTTTACTCTCTAAGACGCGCAAGTCGGTCTCAATTCACTTTATGCGATTAATGGCTCTTCATTGGCTTACTGCAGGAATGTAAGCCTCCGTGGCAGATTACGAAACATTAGAGTTTCAAAGTTGCGGACCTGAAATGACCCAAACTGTCTTCCTGTTTGAGGGACAGAAAAGAACAAAAGCAACTGATGAGGCAGTAATCTGTGTAATATTGTGACCTCTTCTGACAGCAAATAAAGGATTTAATGCATGAATGTTCGGCTTTTATTTTGAAAAAACAGGTTCAAGTATCTGGATGAAAACTTTAAGACCTTTTTGATTCCTCTGCATATTTGGTTCAGTCAGTTTTTTGCTTTTTTGTTTTTCTAAATTTTTACTTTATCTCATCTTTTCCTTCTCGTCTGTCTCATTACCAAATTCCATTTTCATCAGCACACAAGACACAACAGAGAAGATTTTCATCCTATTCTGTGCTAAGGCCTTGAGCCACCCCCTCTCTCCTAATGGCCACCACCTTTATTTTTCAACCAGCATGAACTCCCTAGTCGTCAGTAGTCTTCAGGAAGAGTTCTTCAGGCTTCTTGAAGGACATTCAAAGCTCTTCTTTAGATGTTGACTGCCTTTTATGTCATCTCCCCCCAAAGAACTTGGGCACTTGGTGGATCTGTGGTGCCTGATTGGGCATTTAAGAGGGGTTGTGGTCCACGGTGGCTTGGGTCCTCTTCATCATGTGGTGGGGGCTCTGCCAGGGTTTGGGTGGTTCTCCAGGGTCTGTGGCCCCATCTTCGGCTTGTGCTGAGGGAGCCAGCCTCCGGCAGGGTTGGCTGCTCGCTGCCTCTGGTCCCCTGACACCTCCATCCCACCCCAGAGCTCCGTCTGGGGCCTCCTTCTTCCCTAGGTTGGGGTGGACGCATTGTTGTTGTCGGGATGTGTGGCCCTGGATCTTCAGCTCACTTGTGTGCCGTGGACAGCTGGGGCCTCCTGGGTCTTTCCCTATATCCCTCTGCCTCTAAGTCGGGTAGCATTATTGCAGTCTCTCACCCTCATTTTTCAAGCATGGTCTATGACAAACACTCACACACAGACACTCACAGCCTCTTTCTCTATCTCACGCACATACACACACACAGCAAAATTGTATATTGGTTTGTGTACCCCCCTCTGTTTTGCCTTTTTGGTGCTGTGTATCATATGATTGTGCCTTTAAACAGAAGCAGCAGTTGGACACCCTGTTTACTTCACCCTCAACTTTTTCTCACCTTTTTCTTTTTCTATTTCTCTGCTTTTTCCTCTTATCTTTCACCAGTCTGGCTTTTATACTCTGTTTGCTCTAGAATAACATCCACAGGACCTACAGAGCAGGCAACCATATGCCGTATGGTTGGAGAGCAGTAGGCCTGGGTTTGAGTCAGACCCGTGGCCCTTTGCTGCATGTCTTCCCCTGTCCCTCTCCCTGCTTTTCCTGTCTATCTACATTATCTGTAGCCAATAAAGGCTAAAAGACCAAAAAATAAATCTTTTGAGAGAATTGTCAAGTACTGAAATACTGAAAATGCGTGGAAAAAGCAGCCGAAGTCCAAATGAAACCCAGGGAACTATTGCTCAAGACCACTTAAAAAACTGACAACAAAGATTGGCTCCTTAGAAGCAAAATAGAAAGAAATGGAGGGTTACTCAAGACTTTTGCACAGTATTTTATTTTTAGAAATCTTCAGCGACTGACCATGAAGAGTGCTTGGAAGCTGGCGATCATCTTTTCCAGCACGGCGATGACGGCCGTGCTCTCTTCGGCCCTGGCTGAGCTCTGGACTGTGAACTCCTTGTCTGTGCTCTTCTGCTTGTGGAGGAGGTTGGGACCAAAGATGGTGGCGAGGTTTAAAGCTGTCATCTTGTTCCCTGTGATCTGGGACACAAATGTACAAACCTATTAATAATGGTTCACTCAGTAATTCCTCAGGCTCAGTCTTTTACTATTAATTTAAATGAACTGCAACCGTATGGTAGGCCAAACTAATGAAAAATTATTTTTCAATACAATTCAGTTATATTACATTTATATAGTGCAAAATCACAGTAACAGTTGCCTATGCGCTGTATACTGTAAGGTAAAGACCCAACAACAACAGAGAGAAACTCCAACTATCAAACAAGCCCCTTTGGGCAAACACTTGGCGACAGTGGGAAGGAAAAACTCCCTTTTACCAGGAAGAAACTTCCAGCAGAACCCGTCTTTTTTTTTAATAATAAATTTTAAATAGGATTTCATGAACTAGAGACATTTTTGTTTTTCAAAGGGTGAGAAATAACAGAAAAATTCGTAACGCCTATTTATAAGAGTAACAACTTAATGGACAACATCAAAGTTTACATAGAAGATTAATGATTAGTTGTACTCAATACAACACGGAAGACTCGGAATGGTGTTGAGGTGAGGTCGAGGGGTTGAGTTATGTGCTACTTTAACAACAGTCGCCATGCGTGCACGCCATGTGTTTCCTTTGTGTTCCCCCTTGTGTTCTTGTCTCCTGCCTGTTTTTCCAGTCTATTGGGTTTTTCTCTGGGTCTCCACCACTACTGTGCTGGCGTTTGCCCATGTATCTACTTCAAGTAGACGTGAAAGCTGCGCGCCATTCAAATGGTAAACAAACCAGTTCATATCATCAAACACTCACATATCAAATGTGCTGACAAACCCAAGTTTTATCTAGAATATTTCAGTAGATGGGTCTGTGTGTTTGCATATGTGTGTGTTTTACCTGGTGTATTAATGCAGGTATGATTACAATATTTGTGATATTTAATTTCCATCCATTTTCCATTTGTGTTGAAATTCAAAGAGAAAAACATTTTTTAAAAGATAAAGGGCAAAGGCTGCATCACAGACACCAGGGACAATTTTCTCATTTCTCTTCCATATTAGGAGATTTTTTTTTAAAAAAAATAATTCCAAAAGAACTGCAGAAATGATCTTCTGTAATAACACAGACTTGGGAGTTCTTCCTCCCACTTTCTCCTCCCTCTCACATTACCATCTCTCATCCATTCCTTTGGAAAATCTCCCTTCCAACGTCTATGCTGTGTTTCTTATCAACCCCCACCCCTCTGCTTTTTGTCACTTTAAGCTGAAGATAGTTGAAAACTAGCATCATGGGGGTTTCTGAACACGAAGCGCAGGCGAGCACGACAGCTGTCTCTGGCTTTCTCTGGGTTGTGTAATAGTGCATGTACTTTTGGACAATGGACATCTAAAATTAAAAGGCATTTAAAGCTTTGACAGCTTTTTAAAATACAAATTTTTCTTTTTTTTTCCTTTTTTTTATATTTCTTGTTGAGTTTCCTCCCTTTTCCACTCCCAGTCCCAGCACAGAGACGAGAACCACAAAGCAGCCAAGGAGTGCTGATATTTTCCTAGATGAGCTCGAAGCAGTCCGACTTCCTGTCAGAGTTGCGGACAGAGATACTAGAGCCACGAAGGAAGAATCATACGCATCGATGTTTGGGTTCATTCTCTTGTGTATATAGACACACAGAGACAACAAAACAAAAATCCATCTGTGCGAACGTGTGTGCCAAAAAAGCACTTTTTCACACGTAAACACAGCAACACACATTCTCCTGCAAAAGATAATGAAAGTATGCATCACCAGAGACAATAAACTTTCTTTCTCAGTGCACATACACAGATGTCTTCAGAAGTTTCCATACAATCATTATGGACATGAATGTCATGGTAATTTGGGGCTTTTAATGATTTCTTTGAACTGTTCTTTTTCCAGGAAGGATTGTTATACATATCCCTTGGATTTTCTCTAATCCACACAGGGTCAAAGGTATACATACAGGATCAAATTCCCCCCTAATATTTTGTAAAATGTCTTTTAGCAAGTTGCACTTCAACCAGGTGCTTTTGGTGACCATCAACACGTTTCTAGCACAATTCTCCCAAGGCCTTATCCTAGTATGAAATGCCCAAAACACCTGGCATAGGAGGTGTCCAGGAGGCATCCCAGTCAGATGCTTAACCACTTCAACTCCTTTTGACACGGTCGCGCATCGGTTCTACTTTTTTGCTTTTTCTGTGAAATTTTGTACCGAAACTATCTTGCGGTGCAAAAGTTCACAAAAAGTGTAATAGGGTAAAATTATTTGATGACCTTTTTTCTCCCGACAATCAAGTCTGAACAGACGTATGTACACTGCAACTTTACTGGCCAAGTGTGCTGGAGAAAGATGCCGAAATATTTACTTTTGCAAACTTGGACTAGTTGGCCCAGTCCAGTCCCCAGCCTGAATTGCAAAATTTGAGCAAATGCAACGGTTGACACTATCCCCGGATGTTATAATCACTACTAACCTATTTAGTGATCTTACATCAGTGTTTTTGTAGTGCTTGTGCTGTTTCTGGAGCATATGTACAGAATCCACCCATGCAAACTGCTTCCTATCACTTCTTTGGTAATTTCTTCCCAATGAGGTGGAACCAAAATGCCATTAAACTGTCCACAGGCTCTACATCTGGATGTTTCAGCCTGTTGCTCACCTCCTGCCCGTCTTTATCTTGCTGGTCATGCGCATGATCAGCCACAGTGGACAGGAACTCCAGCAGGCGGTGAAGTGTGTCACTATTGCATGCTGGGAGAAGGTAGATCAGCAGCTGAACGACACTCTGCTGCTCGTATGAGTCCAACACTGCAGTGCGCAAGGGAAAAAAAGGTGTCAACGGGAGGTTAGGAATGAGGAGACAACAGAAGGGAAAGTGGGAGGGGTGCGAAAAGACACTTACATGTGGTGTTAATAAAGGCCGTGTAGAGCTCCTTGGTTAGGAGAGGGTCCGGCAAATCCCTTAGGAACTCCTTCAGCAGAGCAGCTACATCGTGAACACTGTACTCCTCGTCTAGCTGCACATCAATGCCACGATCAAACTCTTCTCGCAGCTGAAGGACAACCAAAAACAACAGGCCGAGGGGAAAGAAAGGAAAAGGGGCACTCAGAAACATCCTCTGCACACAACAATGGACATTATATTCTAGGTAGTGCACACGCCCACAGAAACTCACTTCCTTCTGGTCCTCCAAGGGACCTGCTCGACTCTCAGCTCAAACTCGTTTTACCAGTACAGATTCAAATCTCTTCCATCTGACCTTTGGATGACTTCTTCAAAATTACAAAGTCTATTTTGTTGCCATGACAATGGGTTGTCTGCACGTTCACTAATGTGGTGGTTTTTACACGAAATGTACAGCAAATTAAATTAATAAATCCTTTTGTCTTTTACAGTTTGCTCAAATGTGATTGGTCAATAGCACTCAAACTATAGACAGACTACATATAGAAATCGAAACATTTCCTACACTAAAAAACCTGTGCATTGCTTAAAGACTCTATATATTGATACGCAGGTGATGGCAACATATTTTATTTTTTAAAAAGCATAGATTTTTTTTCTTTGTTTTGCTAGCTGGTCTCCATAACAATGATACTGTCAATTTGAAAAACTCTGATTAAAAAAAAAATTATTGTATCACGCGATGAGCCATCATTAGCCATCACGTGACTTGCAGAACAGGTTGCAAAGTGCAACTTAGCTGATGTACAAACTAGTTAATTGTGCTCTAGAGCGTCGAACATCTGCTCATTGTACCTTAAGCTTAACATTTAGCAAAAATTCTTACGACAAAGCTAGCATTTGTTTCATCTCAGTCACCACACCTCTGCTATGATGGAGACCTGAAAGTCACAGATGTTTTCTCAGAGGCTGTCAGTGAATGAGTAACCTATGTGCAACTACATGCCAACAAAACACGCAACAGATTATATAAAAAATTATACCACCCACACTGATTGCTCCATTTCGTTTAACCCCGATTTATTCATTCTTTCACTGTGTGTTCATTCGAGTCAAAGGTAACGGATAATGAGCGGTGTAGGAGTTTGTAGAATAACTTCACATTTGCTTGAATAATGAGAATCAACTCTGGATCACTGTGAGGCTGGAAAATTCAGTAGATCAAGCTTTGCTAGCTTAAATGGCACATTTTAGTGCAATGTGCTGGTTTTAACACGTTCTATTCTTGGCAACAACATTTTGTTTGTTGGTGTTGACTCTTGTGAAAGGAAAGAGAAGTGTAAAGAACATTTCACACCAGAAACTTTCACTTTCTACAAAACAGGCCTCTGATTTATTGTTGGGCTTTTTAGCATGGCGCTGTGCATCTTGTTTGTGGATGTCATAAAATGATACTTTCATATAAAGGACAATGGGTTACTGATGAGTATAAAACAACCCAATTAAGGCCCTGTGAGAGATGTTATACCACATGAAGGAATATATTTTACTACATGGACAGAATACTGACCTGTCGGACTCTCTTCTTGGAGCTTCCAACTCTAAAGATCCCCACAGTGTGCAAACCTGAAGTATTAAAAGTGCAGAAATAAGAGAAATCAGACACGGCTTGGTACATGTAGAGTTCCAATTCTGAAGAGGCAGGGACACAGAAAACGTATCAAATGTTTAAACTGAGACATTTTACTGTTTTATGAAAAATATCAGCCCTTTTTGAATTTGATGCAGCAACACGTCTCAAAAAAGTTGGAATAGTTGCAAGAAAAGGCTGGAAAAGTAACGCTTTTTCAGCTAATTAGGTTAATTGGCAACAGGCCAGTAACATCATTGGGTGTAAAAAGAGAGAGTTTCTTAGAAGTAAAGCTGCATCTATAAATTCTGGAAAGATTAATGTTGCTCAATGTGAAATTGTTAAGACTTAGAATTTGTACAAAACTCTGCACGCAAAAGAACAAGGAAAATTTACTGGATGCTGGATGCCCCTGAACCTCGTGCCCTCAGGTGATACTGCATTAAAAAAGCTTAGGAACACTTGCAAGTTTGAACTAGCATCCCATACCAGACAAGACGTCCAGCAACTGGTCTCCTCAGTTCCCAGACATTTACAGACTGTTGTTAAAAGAACAGGTAATGCTACACAGTGGAAAACCTGGTCCGGTCCCTACTTTTTAAAGGCATGTTTCTGCCATCCAAGTCAAATTGATGTTGCTTGTTTTCCCCTAAATAGCACATTTTCTCAGTTTAAACATTAAATATGTATGTTCTATCATGGTTAAAATGTGGGTTTATAAGATTTCCAACCTGCGTTCTTTTTTTATTTACATTTCAAACAGGATCCTGATTTTTTGGGGGTTTTTATGAGCGATTAAGCAGCTGCTCACCATATTTTTCGATGTGCTGACAGCAACTATCGACGACACGTGGCACCTGACGGTAAATGGGATTCAGGCTCAGCCTTTTGTCCCTGTGCTTCTCTTTTTTACTCGGCGTTTCAGCTGGCAGAGAGAGCTGCAGCGCCTCA